TCTGCATGGCTTTGCCTCATCTTATTCACAGCTCACTGTTAGTCAGGGAACATCTAAAGTGAACCAATTTTGTGTTCATTTTATTTCATAGTTTGTGGAAAGGGTCTCCAGACTCTCATTTAAGGAAAGTATCCAAACAATTTCCATATATAACAAGCACCCTTACAGAATCTTCCTATACCCATGGTATCTGTCTATTTGCTGTCTCTGAAGGGTCTTCTTTATCCAGGTCATGATAAAGCTAGTAGTAGCAGATTACAACACCAACAGTCATTCAACCAGACTTGTTCGTTCTGCAGAGTTCGATGTTTTGCTGCTTATCCAAGCCATTCTTTTATTTCTGAGTGTTAGGAACATACAGTACACTATTATTCATAGCCACACAGGTAATTCTGTTTATTTGCAGTAAAGAATGAATCGTACCTTAAACATAGATAAGTACAGCCCCTCCCAGTACCACAATACCCCTTGTGATAATACCTGAACTAATAAATCTTAACGTGTGTAAAAAATCATAACATATATGTGTAAAAGTCCCATATAGTAATGTATATTTCCTGATGATCTTCCAGTTTTTCACCAATTCTCAGTTCTATCAAACCAAACTCTTCATAATCATAAATAGTGTTTCCATGAAAAAAATGTGAGGTCAAAAATCTCCAAGTGAGAGCACATCTTGGGTGACAGTGGAGGAGCACTATTTATGATTATGAAGAGTTTGGTAAAAAGTCATTCAGTGTAGCTTAGGGTGTGGTTGCCATCATCCCTATTTCCGTATAGAAAAAGTTCCACCTTACATTTTATGGGATTCTTTAGGCAACCTTGAAATATATACAAAGAAACCAATTATTTAAAAGATCAACATTTTATTTGAACACGTTTCTTTTATCTGACACATTAGTACATATTGGATAGGCAATACATATAAATAAACAACAGTTTTTAACAAGTCATTGACTTCACAAATGTGTGGTTTTTGCGATATCTATCCAGAGGTATCCCCCAAAGCTGATTTCCATCTTGCAACCTCAACTTTTGACTGCAGATATATTCAGCCAAATCCCATAAAATGTAAGATGTAACTTTTTCTATATGAAGAGTTTGGTTTGATAGAACTGACAATTGGTGAAAAACTGGAATATCAAAAGGAAATCTAGATTACTATATGGGACTTTTTAGATGTTATGATTTTTTTTACACACGTTATGATTTATTGATTTAGGTATTGTCCCAGGGGGTATGTAGTATTGGGAGGCACTGCACTAACCTATGTTTAACCCCTTCATGCCTAAGGGTAACACAAATCTAAATGCCTAAACACTATTTTGCAACGTTGACATGTGTTGGTAAAACCGTACATATCATCACAACTACCGTGTTTTTTTTCAGGACAAATTGGGCTTTCATTTGGTGGTAAATGGTAAGGGATATCTCCTGATTTTTTTTTTTATTATCAAAGGAAAACTGGCCCAAAATAGTAAAAGAAAAAAAAAAACTTACTACCAAAGAACAACTCAAAATAAACAATAGTGTGCATTTTGTTTTTGTCTCTTTTTTTTTTTTTTTTACCTAAAACACACTGACACTAACTGATACCAAATTGGTTTTTAATCCTGACCTTGACCTAAACAACCCTAGCAATGAACTTGATCAAACCTTGATCTAGGTATTTTTTCTCTTATTTTTTAATATTTATTTATCTTTTTTTTTTTTTATTTTAACCTTTTTTTTCTCCATGCCAGGAGTTAGAGAGATGCAGTGTATCTCTCTTCTCCATTCTTAGAGAGAAAAAAACAAGGGGGCCGGCTGCACAGTGACTGATCACTGTGATAGCTAATCAGAGGCTATCACAGCAATCATTTGACCCGGAATCGGGCGTTCCGGGTCCCGATCGTTAGAACGGGACCTGGGGCTCTCAGTGACACCGCGGTCTTTGTGCTGGGAGCGCGCAGTGCGGCGCGCTCCCAGCACAAAGACATGTATGCAAATATGCTGCCCCATGGAAAAAAACCCCAGTTCCGTGAGGCCGCTTATTTGTGTGACATCAGCGTCAAGGGGTTAAGGTATAATTTGACAGGTGTATGGGTATGTGAAGGGTGTAGGCGACTGTTAGAATGATTTTTTTTTTTTCTTTTTTTAGGTTGCTCGCGGGGGAGTAACATCAATAGTAGCAAAAAGCAATCATAGTTGTACCTTCCTCATGCATATGGGCTTTACAAAGACCTCACACAATACACTTTAGTTCTTCCACCCATATACACCAACCTATGCAGGCACTGGAAGTGCTATTTCCTCTGCTGTGGTGATATGCATTGGTCTAGGCCAAAAAATCAACCAGATATAAACAAAGGGAACTTTTTTTTTTACCAAAATATGGGAGCCAATAACATTTTTTTTTTTGTGGCTTTTTTGCTATTAGTATAAGCATGTGGGCAAGAATTTGTTAGATGTCAATTTGTGGGCATGGTTTAATTTTCATGTTTATGGCACGGAAAGACTGCTACTAAGAGCCAATAAAACCCAGGCTTTTGCCACTAACAACAAACTAATATACTGCACTTAAAATACAGCCATCTTTAAGTAAAATGTGCATGAAAATATTTTTATGTCAGTTGTATTAATATTTTTGCGGTAGAGTTGCAACTGCATAACAAAATATGAAATTTCAAATACATTTTAAGAGTCAAGTTGGTGCCCAAACACTAGCCTCTGCCTTCTTGGACAACTGCTTAGCTCACTTAAAGCTAACAGGTAGCAAGCAAATATAACAGACACTATTTCATGCAGTTCTGTAATCATTAATACATCATTAACCACTGCCTGTTTCGGCCACATGCGTGGCCCCCCTCCCATTGCAACACCATCCTCCTGCCTACTCCCCTGGGATTTGACAGAGCGGGAGTTTGTCATCAGATCCCAGCCAATGATTCATGGCCGTTACCTGCTGATCGACCTTCTGTGTTTCAGATTTTTTGCCACACTATCATAGTAGCACTATAAGTCTCTGATCACCACCATTACTAGTATAAATAGAAAAAAAGCAAGTAAATATACATTATCATTTGTAGAAACTAGATCTTTTACGCAACCAATTAATATACTTATTGGGTTTTTTTTTTTGTTTTGTTGTTGTTTTTTTTTTTTACCAAAGACTTGTAGCAGAATACATTTTGGCCTAAATTTATGAAGCAATTAGGCTTTTACAAATTTTCTTTATTGCATGACCATGCAGTTACTAGTTAAAGTAGCTCATTGCCGTATATTAAAAAAAATGGCCTGGTCGTGAAGGGGGTAAAATCTTCAATAATTTAAGTGGTTACATTTTAAATGCAGGCAGTGTAAGTACCTGAATGTACTTAGTGTGATGATACTCCCATTCTGTAGTCCCAAGATAATAGCTAGGAGGGATAATTAGATCTACAAAAACTCTTTCAATGGTATATTTAACCACCTCCCGCCTGCCATATAGTCCAATGACGGGCGCAAGGTGGTTCTCTCGTTCTGATAGGACATCATATGACGTCCTGCCATTCTCACTGCGCATGCGCAGCTCAGGGAGCGCGCGGCGCCTGACGGTACTCTGTGTCCCTCGGACACAGGATCACTGATCACGGAAAGAGCCGAAGATGTCGGCTCGGTCATGTGATGAGCTGTGTCCAAACACAGCTGATCACATGTAAACAGGGAAATGCCGGTTATTGGCATTTCTCTCCTCTCGAGCTGTCACGCTGACAGCTTGAGAGGAGAGCCGGTAATCGGCTTTCCGCGGAGGGGACATGTACACTGATCATCAGGGCACTGATGATCAGTGTGCCCCAGAAGTGCCACCTGTCAGAGTCTATCAGTGTCAGCTGAACAGTGCCACATGCCAGTGCCACAATGCCACATATCAGTGCATATCAATGCCACAAATCAGTGCCCATCTGAGCTGCCCTTCAGTGTCACCCATCAGTGCCAGTCAGTGCCACCTATCAATGCCAATCAGTGCCAGTCAGTGCCACCTAACAGTGCCATATATCAGTGCTGCCTTTCAGTGCCTATCAGTGATGCCTGTCAATGCCCATCAGTGCATCTTATCAGTGCCCATCACTACAGCCTCATTAGCGTACATCAGTGAAGGAGAAAAATCACTTATTTACAAAATTGTATAACAAAGCCTAAGAAAAACTTTTTTTTTCAAAATTTTCAGTGATTTTTGGTTTGTTTAAGAAAAAATAAAAAACCCAGAGGTGATTAAATACCACCAAAATAAAGCTCTATCTGTCACAAAAAATATACAAATTTCATATGGGTACAATGTTGCATGACCGCGCAGTTGTCATTCAAAGTGTGACAGCGCTGAAAGCTGGAAATTGGCCTGGGCAGGAAGGGGGTATAAGTGCCCTGTAGGCTAGTGGTTAACAGACCAAAAGGTAGCAAGTAAGAAATGTTCATTGTTAGTATTTACATACACTTTAAATCCAGAACCTGAAAGATACCAATATTAACCACTTAGCTGCTTTGCATCATTTGACAAGTTCAGATTGAAAGCAGGAATTCACTCATTTTTTTTTTTTGTCCCTGAAGGTCCAGTAACATTTAAACATGTTACTTTATATTAAAAGATACTACTGGCATTTTATAAAAGTTTAAAATATTCTTAATGCTGTGCAGAGCTTTGAGTTTGACATTTTATGTGCATTCTGTATGCAGCTTAATTGGCTATTTTAGGTGAAGGTTTCTTAGGCTTTGGTGGAATTCATAACATGAATTTTTATTGCTCATATATTCTGCCCTCCTGAATGCTCTGCGTATAGATTCATCTTATTAATGGATGTTCTCGATAAGATCAGTTATTACTCTGCTTCTAAAAGAAAATATGAATTTAGCATCTTTGTAATGATTGTAGCTGAAAAGTTTGTAACTGAATCGCTTTGTTCTCATGTATCTCATGTATTTCTTGTGTGGTGATTTTGTCTTTTTTCTTTTTTTTTTTTTTTTTTTTTTTTTTTTTTTTTTAGCAAAGCATGAAGAAAGAAAAAGAAGGTGAGGAAAAGTGGAAACGTAGAGGACTTTCTAGCATTCTGGGACCTCCAAGGAGACCCAGCCGGCAAGATAGTAATGCAAGTATGTATGATTTGTTTATTAGATTGGCTCTCTTCAACAGGGAATACTTTGTGCAAAAATATACATTCATATAGTGAGGCTTGCAAAAATTATGTTTGTAATGAGCATTTTATCAGTCTGAATGGGAACAGTACAAAATAAAATGTTCAGTTAAACCAAATTTCATTTCTTTTAGCAGTTACTTCAAAGTTGAACGAACCATTGTCTAATATGTCTTCTCCTGACTCCCCAAATCTAGCCACCTGTTTTGACCATTACTGGGCTACCTTGCCCCTTCAGTAACGCAGCTTGTAACAGCAGTTGTATGGAGACATCACATAACTATGACTATGAGGAAACACTTACTGTTTTTTGGAAGTTTTAGCATACCCTGGTAGATTTAATTAATACTTCTAAATATTTACATGTGAGATGCAAGCTTAAAATAACCCTTCATAACAGCTTTTTGCAAAGTAAGACTTTTTAACGAGTTGGAAAAATCATTTTGACTGTCATGTCCCAGTTTATCTGACATTTTGTATGTAGAATGCAGCGGTTAAAGGATAAGTTCGCCTTTTCACCCCATGTTACATGTTACACCAATGTTTGAGTGTAACATGCAGTATGGAAGCAAACATGACCACAGAAATCCACTTACATTTGCACTCTTACTAGAATCCTAGAATGTACCTTCTGTCTTATATCGGTTTATAAAATTAGCATATCCTTACATCCCTATGTCTCACACAGCCTCGTCCTTCATATCTGCTGTCCGCCCTGTGCAAAAACTACACTTCCCATCTGCCACCTTGGCAGATGAGTTACAGAGCACACTCATGTTCACAGGTTCGGGCACGATCACAGGTTCTGTGCGTGCCCTCTGGTGCATACACTGCATGCAGCCAGTGAGACAAGGCTTCCTGAAGTGGCTGAGAGTGTTCCCTAGCACATTCTCCTGGGACCTTTTCAGCTGCGCAGTTCAAGTTTCAGAAGGACGGCTGGATGTACTTGCGTGGTGATATCATATCATTTGTAGTCCAGCTGTCCTTGAACTTTTCTATCTCAAAGTCTATACTTCAAATACAAAACTTAGCTCCGAAGTAGAGTCTGTAGAAGCCTCAGCATTGCATCCATGGTACACTAACTATGATTGTAGTGCTTTCCAGGCTGAAATGGTTACATTTTATAAATGCATATTTTTTTCATAACAGTATGAAAAAAAAAAATGTAATAAAAAGGTGAACTTAGCCTTTGAAGAGACCCTGTTGCCAGGCCATACATTTCCCATAAGATTATATTTGCATTTAAATGTTACACATGTTATTTACCTGTAAAAGACTCCCTTGTGTAGACATCCAAAAGACCTGAGACTGATGCTGGGTGCCGCCATCTTGGATATGTTGTTAGCAACTCCAGCGGAACAGAACTGTCACTCTATAGGTTTCTTCTTTGCTCCTGCTTTGACAGCTGCATAAAAAGTTATGTTGGAAGAGAGCAACTAGTTCGGCACACAGAGAGAGAGAGGATTTCTTGTTGCCCACTGCACACTAATATAATATGATTAATGGCTGCTACTGTATGTAAGGAGGCAGTGTCCAGCTATAATTATTTAAACATTTGCTGCAGTTTCCAGGGCTATGCAAATGCAAAAGCACCCCAAGCACTTATCAACATCCTCATCCAGCAGTCCTGAGCCTGCAGAGGGCAGATTGCGAACCAGTGGAGGCTCTATGGATGGACCGGATGGTTCTTTGAACCTGTTTTCTCCACCACCTAGTACTTGTCCAGGCTACAACTCACCTGATGGTAACCGGGAACAGGAGGGAGGTAAGAGAATCTCTCTCCTATATTTTCCCTATTCTTTAATAGAATCTCTGTTGCTAATACGGAGTATGTACTGCATCTTTTTTAGGTTCAAAATTTGCACAAGAAGGAGTTCATTCCACTGACTCTTGTGATGGAAGTTCAAGAACATCTGGTTCTCTCTTTGACTTCCCTTCCTCTCCACTGGATCTTTTACAGGAAGAGAATAAAGACACAGATCGGTGAGAGTGGATGCTGGTTTGCAATCGTTAGCTGGCTCTTTACTACTTGACTATAGCTAGCATAACATTTCTCTTTTCAGCTGAAATCTCTCAATACAAGTCCTCCTTTGACAAACGTTTATATAATGCAGTACTTTTTATAATCTCACCATTACATCAAGAGTGCATCCATGGTACATCATAGTTATGTTCTTGCAGAAAATCCATTTTGGCACCTTAAAGTGCCACTTGGTAATATCTTTTAAATCATAATTGGTTGGAATCAGCTATATACTTTATTACATTATACTGTAAGATAAGGTCATGCATACATCAGCAAGATGATCGTAGTTTAAAAAAAACACACACATGAGAAATAAAAGTAAAACAAAAGATGTATACTCTATGAAGCCAGTATTAAATATGTTTGAAAACTTTGTAAGTGTTAACTGTAAACACACACCACACACAACACTAAAACATTTGAACAGAACTGAAAATATGCTTAAAAATCAAATGCTGCTTCTGAATAAGACATAAACACATAGAATACAGAAGGGTTGGAATTATTGACAGTTTTTTTTACTGTTGTCATTGGCCCCTTTAGAGAGATTTCTTCTTACTTCCTGTCCTGGTAAACTCTGTCATGATGTGCTGGGAGTTACTGGGAAAGGAAAGAAGTGAAAATCTTATCACAGGGTTCCAAAAAAAAAAAAAAAAAAAGCTTCATTCCCACATTTTTACTCTGTTATTAACTCAATAAAATACAATCTCCCCCACGCAGACGAAGACAAAGCAATGTAACTCTGATCGGATGTTCTAACCCTTCCACTTCTGTACTAAAATTTAAAAAAAAATGGCTGGCTGTTGCAATAAAATGAAAAAGTCTAATGATGTGTTTGTAAACTCTTCTCATCACTAGGTTTAGCGAACTGGGCACACCGAAAGCTTCCCGAAAGTGAGTACTTTGTCAGGATCTGACCTAGTTGCATAATAATGAATGTTACCTTGTATTTACAGCAGTGCTGGTTGTGAGTTAGGCCTCATTCACACTATCTGCATTGAGCTGTGTTTATCTGCACACACCACAATGCTGCATTGAGTTTGCTTTTAGTGTAAAAAAGCAGACATGCTGCTTTGTTTTGCACCACACCTCTATTTTAGAAGCGCTCACTGATACCAGTGTCATTTTGTCACGTCAATATAGTTTTTTATTTTAAAAAAGTGTCTTGCAACAGTGTAAGGCAGCGCTGCTACAAAATAGACACCAGCCCTCAGACTGTCCATTTTAGCATGTGGTCTGGTGTGAACTAGGCCCTTATAAAAATTAGTTGCTTCTAGTTCTCCCAATTGGTATTCTCTGGAGTTATCTAGTCACATGAATACAGAAAAATTGATCCAAAAATAATTTGAACCTTTTTGTGATTTGTGGGGCAGTTTTTAGGCAATGTATAGGTTCATAAGGGGGCAATAATAAAGTTCTTCCAGGCATTGTAAGAACTGGTTATTTAACACAGAAACTGCCTCTGTGCAGTTGATATAATGAAAAAAAAAAAAACGTTCCCCGCCTATAAAGTACATTTACTATGTCACCTTTTCCAAATAGATCTATGTGAATCCTAGTGCTTGTTTCTTATTAATATTTTCCTGTACTGAACATACATTGCTAAGCAGTTTGTTTATTATAATGTTCCCATAAGAAGCTTGCATATTGATTACCTCCACCCCTTGTAGGTTGGAAAGTCTGACCCTTGGTGAAATGCAAAGTGAAGATGAACTGTATGATTTGGATAGGGAGATGGATCCTCCCAGTTGGCAGCAACTTGTTAGCAGAGACATTCTTCAGGGTCTGAAACCACATGAGATTAAACAGCAAGAGGTCATACATGGTAAGGAGAAATTCGAAGCAACATGGCACACAAAAGGGGGAATACTGCAAAGTGTTGGGTGTCTGGGAATACAATGGCTTTACCTGATACTAAAGTGTTACTAAACCCACAACAGTAAAATCAGTCTGTATATGCAGTAAAGCATGCTTGTTATACTCACTGTGGAACCTAAGGGGTTAATCCTCTGCATTGTGTAAAAAGGCTGTTTGATCCTGACTTCTCTGCTCATTCTCTTGTTCAAATGTCCACGTCTTATCTCCTGATAAGACAGACTGAACCATAGCCATTTGCACATGCTCAGTTTAGTGTGTATTGCTAGAAAGGTTTTTTTGTTTTTGTTTTTTGTCTTGGGAGAGTGCATGTGATCAGCACAGGGCCAATCAGCACTGTTCAGACAGAGGTCAGGGTTTTGCATCTTCCTAGATTAGAAAGCAAAACTACTACAAGCTTTAACCAGTGCTCTGCTGAACACTGATAGAAGTCACAAGACTGCTCTAACTACTGATGAGAAAAGGTATTTAGAGGTTTATATTTACTAACATAATTGCACTTCCATGTTCTGTGTACTGTGGGAGACCAGATATGGTGAATGCAGGGTCCTGGGTTTAGCAGCACTTTAAGATTGTGGCTATGAGCTTATTTATATTGTAGATATATATATTTTTTTTTAAAGTGAGAGTTTGTAAATGCATAGCTAGGCCTAACATCCTAAGACAAAGGGGTTGATTTACTACAGGCAAATAGGCTGTTCACTTTGCAAACCACATTCACTAAGCGAAGGGAAAATTCCCTTGCAAACAAACCACAATCATGGACACAGAAAAAGTGAAAAAAAAAATTCTTGCTTGCATATTATTGGAAAATGGAAGTCAGCAGAGCATCACTTCTTTCACTTTGTAAGGCAAATTCCCCTGAAAAGTGAACAGCCTACTTGCGTTTTGTAATTCAAACCCAATTTTATGTGATAGACTAACACAAAGTGGCACATAATTGTGGAGTGGAAGGAAAATGATAAATGTTTTTCAAAAATTTTTACAAATATCTGAAAAGGGTGGTGTGCATTTCTATTCAACCCCCTTTACTCTGATACCCCTAACTAAAATCTAGTGGAACCAATTGCCTTCAGAAGTCACCTAATTAGTAAATAGAGTCCACTTGTGTGTCATTCTCAGTATAAATACAGCTGTTCTGTGAAGCCCTCAGAGGTTTGTTAGAGAACAGTAGTGAACAAACATCATCATGAAGGCCAAGGATCACACCAGACAGGCCGGGGATGAAGTTGTGGAGAAGTTTAAAGCAGGGTTTAGGAAAAAAAAAATTTTGGAAGCAAAAAAAAAATATACCCAAACAAGTTGATTGTGCACTGCACAAATCTGTCTTTTATGGAAGAGTGGCAAGAAGAAAAACAAAAACTGCACATCACCCTGAACACACCATCCCCACTGTGAAACATGGTGGTGGCAGCATCATGTTGTGGGGATGCTTTTCTTCAGAAGGGACAGGGAAGCTGGTCAGAGTTGATGGGAAGATACAGTCAGGTCCATAAATATTGGGACATCGACACAATTCTAACATTTTTGGCTCTATACACCACAACAATGGATTTGAAAAGAAACGAACAAGATGTGCTTTAACTGCAGACTGTCAGCTTTAATTTGACGGTATTTAATCCAAATCAGGTGACCGGTGTAGGAATTACAACAGTTTGCATATGTGCCTCCCACTTGTTAAGGGGCCAAAAGTAATGGGACAGAATAATAATCATAAATCAAACTTTCACTTTTTAATACTTGGTTGCAAATCCTTTGCAGTCAATTACAGCCTGAAGTCTGGAACGCATAGACATCACCAGACGCTGGGTTTCATCCCTGGTGATGCTCTGCCAGGCCTCTACTGCAACTGTCTTCAGTTCCTGCTTGTTCTTGGGGCATTTTCCCTTTAGTTTTTTCTTCAGCAAGTGAAATGCATGCTCAATCGGATTCAGGTCAGGTGATTGACTTGGCCATTGCATAACATTCCACTTCTTTCCCTTAAAAAACTCTTTGGTTGCTTTTGCAGTCTGCTTTGGGTCATTGTCCATCTGCACTGTGAAGCGTCCAATGAGTTCTGAAGCATTTGGCTGAGTATGAGCAGATAATATTGCCCGAAACACTTCAGAATTCATCCTGCTGCTTTTGTCAGCAGTCACAACATCAATAAATACAAGAGAACTAGTTCCATTGGCAGCCATACATGCCCATGCCATGACACTACCACTACCATGCTTCACTGATGAGGTGGTATGCTTAGGATCATGAGCAGTTCCTTTCCTTCTCCATACTCTTCTCTTCCCATCACTCTGGTACAAGTTGATCTTGGTCTCATCTGTCCATAGGATGTTGTTCCAGAACTGTGAAGGCTTTTTTAGATGTCGTTTGGCAAACTCTAATCTGGCCTTCCTGTTTTTGAAGCTCACCAATGGTTTACATCTTGTGGTGAACCCTCTGTATTCACTCTGGTGAAGTCTTCTCTTGATTGTTGACTTTGACACACATACACCTACCTCCTGGAGAGTGTTCTTGATCTGGCCAACTGTTGTGAAGGGTGTTTTCTTCACCATGGAAAGAATTTCTTCGGTCATCCACCACAATTGTTTTCCGTGGTCTTCCGGGTCTTTTGGTGTTGCTGAGCTCACCGGTGCATTCCTTCTTTTTAAGAATATTCCAAACAGTTGTTTTGGCCACGCCTAATGTTTTTTCTATGTCTCTGATTGGTTTGTTTTGTTTTTTCAGCCTAATGAAGGCTTGCTTCACTGATAGTTACAGCTCCTTGGATCTCATCTTGAGAGTTGACAGCAACAGATTCCAAATGCAAATAGCACACTTGAAATGAACTCTGGACATTTTATCTGCTCATTGTAATTGGGATAATGAGGGAATAACACACACCTGGCCATGGAACAGCTGAGAAGCCAATTGTCCCATTACTTTTGGTCCCTTAACAAGTGGGAGGCACATATGCAAACTGTTGTAATTCCTACACCATTCACCTGATTTGGATGTAAATACCCTCAAATTAAAGCTGACAGTCTGCAGTTAAAGCGCATCTTGTTTGTTTCATTTCAAATCCATTGTGCTGGTGTATAGAGCCAAAAATGTTAGAATTGTGTTGATGTCCCAATATTTATGGACCTGACTGTAAATGAAGCCAAATACAGAGCAATCTTAGAATAAAACATATTAGAGACTGCAAAAGACTTTAGAATTGGGTGGAGTTTCACCTTCCAGCAGAACAACGACCCTAAACATACAGCCAGAGCTACAATGGAGTGGTTTAGATCAAATCATATTAATATGTTCAAATGGCCCAGTCATAGTCCACACCTAAATCCAATTGAGAATCTGTGGCAAGACCTGAAAATTGCTGTTCACAGATGCTCTCCATTCAATCAGACAGAGCTTGAGCTATTTTGCAAAGAAGAATGGTTAAAAACTTCACTCTCTAGATGTGTAAAGCTGGTAGGGACATCCCCAAAAAAGACTTGCACCTGTAATTGCAGCGAAAGGTGGTTCTACAAAGTATTGACTCAGGGAGACTGGATACAAATGCACCCCACACTTTTCAGATATTTATTTGTAAAAAATTTTGAAAACCATTTATTTTCCTTCCACTTCACAATTATGTGCCACTTTGTGCTGGTCTATCACATAAAATACCAATAAAATACATTTACGTTTTTGGTTGTAACATGACAAAATGTGAAAAATTAAAGGGGTATGAATACTTTTTCAAGGTACTGTAAATATAGACATTTTGACTGAAGATACGCTTTAATAAAATGTTTACTTTGGTACGTGTTGTTTGGGAGAGTGTCCTTCACTACCTGTCTGATAGGCTGTCTCAGTGACAGATAGAGAAAGGAAAAATGGCTATATTGACACCACTGCATTAACCACCAGGGGGGAGTCTGAGGTCTTGCTGTGGCAAGAGAGCTAGAGTGGATCCTGTCTTCAGCAGAATTGCACATTCCAGCCTCATCAGTCCTGTGCATTCCAAGTGTAGACTATTGCCAGGCAGATTTCCTCAGCCAACCAGCACTGTCACAGGTGTGGGATGCTAGATGTGGACCTCTTGGCATTTGGAGATGTTTTTATCCACGTGTAAAGGTCTACTAGTGGAGGCAGTGGATGCTCTGATTGATCCATGGGATCAGTATCTATGCTCTTTCTCTGAACCTTTTTTCCTCACCTGTTTCACAGGATCGAGATGGAGGGCATTCTGGTGATTCTGATTGCTCTATATTGGCTTAGGTGGATGTAGTACACAGACCTTGTAAGACGTCTAGCAGATGCAGTGTGGGCCCTGCCAGACTGGATCTTTTGATCCAAGGGCCAATTTTTCATTCTGCTTTCTGGTCACCCCCATTAACAGTGTAGCTGATAAAGCCCAGGTTATACGGGGCAGAGTCATCTTCAATTACTACAATGCTCAAGGCTAGGAGGAGACCTTTGTGTAGTATGGTTCCCCAGTGACTTTGTAGTGTCTGAATCTTGTTCTCTCTACACTTCTGAAGCCACCGTTTCCATCCATTAGAGAAATGCCGTTCTCTCCTCTCTCCATTCTCACCCAGAATTCTGCTTTCCTTTTCCTGAGAGCTAGACCTTTTTGTTTTTCATAGAGACAAGGTGGCATTGAGGCCCAGGACATTATCTGCATTACAGTAAAAAAACCTGTGGACAGGATACCCCCCAGATCCCCTAAAAATTACCTGAACCCGATCTCAATCCAGCCTAAATGCCACTTTCGGCTAATACTTAGCCAAATTGTTGATGTAGAACTCGGATTTCGCACTCAAAGATACATTAGTAAGTAAAATGCATCCTTTTGATTATCCCTTCAGGTAGGCAATCACTATCCTGGCCTTTGCCATGAATTAACATTAATGCTTATTGAGTGCAGAGGTTTCAGTTTTTACGATACCTTGAGTGTTCTGGGGCTAATTGCAGCGAGTTAAACAGAAA